AAATGGATTTAGTAGTGAGGGAGGGGAGTCATTAAAAGGGAAGAGCTCAGTTCTGCTTTCATTCGGGCTGAAAAAGGTCCAGAAAATACTGAAAATACTCTGCAGAAAATACCATCCTGCAGAGGTTGTCAGGGTGTTTTCCTGCCTGTTACTTGCTGCCTGGGATGGGAAGGTGAATCAGCTTGTGGCACAGAATAGGCTACTGGTGTTAAGCCTTGCCGGGTTGGCAATGCCACTGTCAGCCCCGTGGAGCACTTTCTGGCTGTCCATATGATCATCCCGCTCCATCCCCCAGCTGTGGTCCCACGTGCCACCGTGTCTGGCCCAAAGGGACTCACCACACACTACCCTGGGCAGTGTGCAAATGAGCAGATGTAAGAATGAAACACCCTAGACCTCTCCCTCTGCCATTCAGAGCCTTTCCCTCTCCCCAAGCCCCACTCAAAATGCGCCATGAGGTTAACCAAGTGGCTTCTCTCAAGTGACACGGACTAGAGGCTGAGGCTGCTCCAGATGGACTCGTTACACGCCAGGGGCAGCAAATTCTCACCAATAAACAGGTAGATAGAGAGATTCTCCAAATCTCCGCAGGAATGGACTTGATAAAACCACATCATTTTATGAGGAACCTTCCCCAGAGCATGATTTTCTCCATCCCATGTTGGTCTTGGGCAAAAGGAAAGCAGCGCACATAAGTTCTACAAAACGAGTGTTCCCCTTTTTCAGTGCTTCCCTAGCTTTTAGTGCAAAGGAAAGAACCTAGGCATACAAGATTCTTGTGCTATGGATTTATAATAACATTTTATTAATATATTATGCTACAAAAATATTTTGACAAAATAATATTAGAAAGCATCTTTTTATTACACTCTTCAAAACAGTTCACGAAAGCAGGAGGCGGAACAGGAAAAAATATTTGAAATACATTTGAATTGAAAACTGACAAACATGCAGTCTAAAATTCAGTGTAAGCATGAATCTGCAGGATGGTTAATCATTCCTGTAGCAGAAAAGTATTGACTACTTATTGGGAAGACCTCTCTGCCTTTAGCTAGATTAAGGTGCCTCCTGAAAAGCTAGTCACAGGAAAGGTTGCATTTGGGTTGGGACAAAACACACGCACACAACATGCATACATGCACGCATGTACACACGCGTGTGCGCGCGTGCACACACACACGTGCACGTACACCCCATGATCTCAAAATTAGGCAATTATCTTTCTGCTTCTGTTAAGCTGAAACAAGCTTAAATTGAAGCTGAACTCTAGCACACTCCGTGGAACATCCATCAGGTCAGAGATATGACAAACCCATATGCTTTTTGGATATAATATAGAAATATCTTATGGTACTAAGCAAAGTTTGGAATGATAACATTTATGCTGAGATAGTAACTTTGGCACTTTGGTTTCTCTTACATAAATATATGATGGGGAATGCCTCCCTAACAGTGGTATATGGTAATGACTGGGTCATATCATTCGACTAATCAATGCACTAAACAGAGATTAAGTTCTCCCTCTTTCCATCTCTCTCCCTCTCCACAATTGTATATTGAAGAACTTAGATAAATACACAACTCTGTACCTTGGGTGTTCCCAAATTACAGTGGAGCTTGGAGGAATGGGAAGGGAAGTTCAACAAAGCAGATTTTGACACCTGTATAAAGCATAGTTATCATAAATCATGTTCATCATTTATTGCCAGAAGAGGTATTGCATTATTCAACAGCTCGAGGGATTGCAGAGAAAGTACATCAGTCATAAAATATAAAATACCTTCTGTCCCAGCCTACTAACTGGTTCTCCAAGTGGCAATGCATGTTAATATAGCATCCGTAGTTAAACATAGGCAAGAAAAGCATTAAAACAATGAAAGAGTGGAAGTTAGATCTGTTGCTGGTGGTATGGGATATTTATTCCACCAGGGCAAGAGCTTGGCAGATAATTAGCATTCGTTTATAACGTTACAGTTACATATACTGTGAATTGTATTGCTGTCAGTTGTAGCGGTGTTGAAAAGATGAATCATATGAACATTCAGCTTTGGACTCATCCAAAATCATGTCCTTGATTGCTAGATATTGCATGACTCTCTTGACTGTGTTTCTCAGAGGTGAATAGTATCACCGGTGTTTGCTACTACATTTAGCAGGCATGAATATTTTTGTTAAATCTCCTGCTCCTGGAATCTTGTGATTACATGGGAATCTGAGCTTTCCTTCGGAAGAAAGAAAACAGTTGGTTCCTAGTTTTCTGAGAAACCCACAGGGAAAACTGAAGTCCCACGAAGCTGGTAGTCAATATTACTTCAAGAGCATGTAACAAGCCTGATGCACACTTTGTAAACTCATGGTGAATATAATCATGATCCACTGCAATGGATGTGCATAGATTCGTGCTAACCAGTGTTACTGTATTTTAATTAATACTGGGCTGCTGCAGCTGATTAATAAATAATCCGTTTTATCAATCACAGTGAGGGTCTCATTTTCTAGTATTGCTATGCTTACATGCCACGTGTTAAAAAAAGTTACCCTAAGTTGTACCTTAGGGTAAGACAACAGAGTAAAAGAAATGCTCGGTTAGAGAACTGTGCTGAAGCCATTCATGTGGGGTTCCTGAGCTAGGATCTAGGGGAAGCTACTTAATCTTATATTTATTGTAAGTCGTGTCTTCTCCCCTAACCAGAGGGAGCTCAGATGACTGAGCGAGCTAGTTGCTGTTAGCTGGCACAAGTCAAGTGTGTGGACCCCAAGGCGAGGAGACACCTTGCTTTGACACCTGCACTGCAGTATGACAAATGCAGGGCACCAGTGCAAGGGAAATTCGGTGAGCTCTAATAATATTCATTCATTTCACGGGAATTACGGGCAAAATGCCAGGAAATGCAAATACACCAAAACATACTTTGATAGCCAAGCTATTTACATACTGTGATATCCAAACATACTGTGATATCTGAGCTAATGAATATTGAACATTACTGTCCCGTGGAGGAGTGACTTGGAAAAAAAACCTCATCAGTGACAAACGGAGTGACTATTCTGTGCGGTATAATGACAGCTGTGAGTGTGGAGATACCTGTGTGCTCCTAATATTCAAAAAAGCCCCAGAGGCTTATGGAAAAAGCCACAAGTTGGGAAACTGTAGAACTGTAATTTCTAGTCTTGGTCCTATTGGTGGTTTTCCTTACGGTCTTGGACAAGTTGTTTCTGTTTTCTGCTCTTTTCTCTCTCCCTTATCTTTATGTGGTCTTGTCTATTTATACTGTAAGTTTTCCAATACCTGGAATTATTTCTGGGATGGTACCACAGAATCATTTCTGGATTTGATCAAATTACAACAAACAAAATTCAACGGGTTTTGGTTTGTTGGCTGTTCACTTTTACTGTGTAACTTATCATCACCCTTAAGTTTTGCCTACCTTATTTCCAGTTCCATTTTTGTGAACAATACATTATAATTCAGTTCTGATCTCTGTCTTGAATACAGCAGGAGAACCAATCATCTTTTAAAACACATTAAGGTTGAGTTTGAAGGTCTGTAAAGCCATTATATTCAAATGAAGGCATTTCTAGGGTAATAGCTCAAATAAAACTAAAATGAAAGTTCTCAAAATATGTTTCCAATATCCAGCTCTGTGCAATAAATATTATGCAAGGTGAATGGCTTCTGTCCAAAACTAACATCTCTAATCTTCTGCTAGCCAAAATACACAATCTAAAAGTATGCGCAGGGCATGCTCGAAGCTCACATTTGGGGCAAAGCTCAAAGTTTTCCGTTCAGCCTTATCAACTGTTGTGCTTGGAAAAAATAGGGGTAGCTTATAGCACTGTCTGCTGTACCCACTTAAAGTGACCACAAATCTACACAACTTTCTGTCAAAATAGAGCAAAGGCTTGAGGTCACAGTGTGCAGTAAGTCAAAAAGGAGTTATCTGTATTCTCCCTGGCCTTTGCAAGGCAATGGGTTGGGATGCATGATGGAAAAGCTCAGTATTACATCATGGTTTCAAATAAAGCTATGTGCCTTTTGTAGTCTGATTATTTCCTAACCTACTTTCCCGAATTAACTGGTACAGTGACAAACAAACAGTGAATCCTAAACCAACTCTCACTGCAGATACTTTAAGATCGCATGGAATCATCTCTCCAGTCGTGGAGACCATGCTGTAGGGCTGGTGAGAAAGTGATATGACTGTTTTCAGTCAGACTTTTATCAGTATTATTATTATTATCATCATCATCATTATCACGACATTTTTTTCAAGGTGAAAAAGCACTGCTTTTTCATAAAGAAAAGTTTGCATTGTACTTTTCTGTTTTTTGAGTCTACTTTTTTAACTAAGATGTTTTCAGCACGTATTTTGCATTTTTGCTTTGTAGATGACTTAGAAACAAAAACACTATTTCAACCAAAATTAATTTTCTGGTTGAAACTATTGTATCCAAAGGGATTTTTCATCATGTTTTGTTGGGGGAAAAAAATCAACATGCCTTATTAAACATAATAGTTTTTAAGATGGACATGTTTTTTTTCCCCATAGATACTGTCCATTGCATTCATGAAAAGTAGCTGCTTGGAGAGGGAGCAAATTTTTCAGTGAGTGTAAGGTGTCACAACTTTTCCATCTAAGTCAACAGAGGTACCATAGTCTACGAACAGAGGAATGTTCTGTATGTCTCCATGACACGGGTTAATTTGGTTCCTGTGGTCTTGAACAGATTTTGGACAAGCCATAATTCAGCATGGAGATACCAGCTCTAAGCATCATAATAGCAAGATGAGGAGGAATTTGTAGATTTTTTTGCCCTCCAGGTTGTCCATCTGCATTAATACAAATGGTACAAAGAAGTTCTATAGATTAGCAGGATACTACATCTTTATACCCTACAGACAGACCAAGTTCTGTTCTCATTTATGCTGAGAAAGGCTGTAGGCTTGTGTTTATATAAGATGAGGGGGAGAAGACAATAATTCCAGTGGGATTAATCCAGACTTTAAAGCAATTTTTTATTAAGAAAAAGGTGTCTTAATTTGCATCAGCTAATGAATTAATCCCAAGGCAAAGAGGGAAATTGGTAATTTCCAAAGAAGTTAAATAGTTGAGTTAAAGACAACAGGGGAACTTAGAGGGTTATCTTGACTAATGACTTACTAAGTCATATAAAAATAACTGGGATTTTAGGTTGTAGCAGCTAACGAGTTAAGAATGCACCTATTTTTCTAATGGGCATAGGCCACAGAGAGCACGACCTGCTTTATTCAGTGTAATCTATGCTAATGAGATAAAAAAAAGTAAAATAAAGTTCAGCAGACATGTACGTATTGGACAGTTTCTGTAAAAAGTAAGGGTTAAAGAAATAAAGAAGTCATTCATTTGGTGTCAGTTCAGACATTTGCAGAGTTGTCAGTTAGAAAACAAATATAGAAAATATTAATTTATCTGTTTCACCATCGCTACTGATTAATAGGGATGTTATTAACATATACAACAAGAAAAATAAGTTTACCAGTCGAATAAATACATTTTTTCTTTTTCTTTTTTTTTCTTTATATGAACATGTATATTTTACAAAACCCCATAGCACTATGGGAAATAAAGATCCTTCTACAAAAAGAAGATGTAAGTCAGTGTTACAATAAAGCTTTAGAGTTTCAAAATGTATCTGGGCAAAGAGACAAAATCAGCTAGAAGGCACTACTGATTCACTGAGAAGGTCCAGTTTGTAATTGTTGTTGTCATAACCTCCAATTCATTCATAAATTATCTCTCTTCTCTATTCCAAGGGATTGCACGTAATACTAATGTGGTCAGGAAGGCTGCAGTAGATTCAGGAGAAAAGAAGCTATGGCCACACAGAGAGGAGAAGTTATTGACGGCCATAAAAGGCTGGCTGAAGCTGAGCTTGTAGGCTGAGGCTGGGATGGGCGATCCGAACGTGGTCTCTGATCCAGCCGGTTTGAAATCCAAATGGGAGGTTTGACTGTGATGTAGCCATTGGTTATTCTGATATAGGAAGGCAATGTGGTGGTGCTAAAAGAAAACACAAGAGAAGGAAATTAAACAGGAGAACCCTTATCTCTACTCTGTGAGCTGTCATCCTACATGGTAGTAACAACAGCAATGACAATCACAATTTATTATTATTTGCATGCATTAGACAGGCAGGGAGATCCCCAGGGGCTGGTAAGTATGATGGTCTGGAAACAGCTCTGATTCAGGATGTCCCTCAGCTTTCTGCTGCTGGTAGAATATAACTGAATGAAGGATCACTCTTGATATATCTGGTTTATTACACTCATTCTTTTAAGCATACACTGTTGGCCAGCATGAGAGACTGAGATAGATGTATCTTTGTGCTGACCCAGGATGACACCATTCTTATATTCTTAGGCACCTTCTTGCCACCAAAGGTCTCAAAATTTGTCACGTCTTACCCACTGTGGACTGGATACTAAGTCCAGGAGGGGCCAAAAAACATGTCCTTCCCCTGGTCCACAAGCCATAAAGAATTTCTCAGGATCCCCTTACACATCTGATAACCTTGAGCGCAGGAGACCAAGCAGCTTCATTTCTTTTCCTGGCTTTAAGACATTTTGGATGAAATTACAATGCCAAAACCAGACTCAGTGCGAAGTTTCCCTGGTTGTGGACTTGCATCAATAGCGGTGTGATTGCTTATTGACTGTAGCTTGAGTTAGTGCTTTGATTTGAAGGGGCAGGTTGGAATTCATCATGATTCCCATGATACTGAAGGTCAAAAAGGTCCATTTACAATTGATTTGGAAGTTTCAAGTTGTAACCAACATTTCATAAAATGCTTCCATTGCATCCATTATTGGGTGATCCATAATCCACCAGTTGTCACAGAACAGCACAACTGAGCATGCAGACTGCGCAAGGGGGATTCTGGACTTAAAAACAAGGCATTCTGCTGTGGAGCAAGGAGAAAAAAAGTTCCCCTGAAAACAAGATGTGACACTAATACCTGCAGATTCTCTGTGTTACTTTTTAAATCTTCTATAAAGGGGATTTGGAGGCACTGAAAATGACCATCAAATAATTTTTTTACGGGGTAAGAAGCTATGCAGGCCTATGAATATTTAGCTATAGTATCTGAGATCTTGACCTTGGAAGAAAAAGGCTGTGTTTTGCATAATATCAAATAAAAGGAACAATACCTTGCTCCAGATTCATGCACAGAAATAGAATTCAGTAGCACTGAAGGCTTTTGACTTTTTCTGTCTAAGCAATAACAAGATAGCTTTTAGCTCAGATGGTTCAAATGTGTTGAGTCAATCACAAACTGTGAGAAGATCAGAGTCCACCCAGAAGAGGGGACTGGTTAACACACATGCGGGTCAACGCAAATCCAGCAGACAATCACTGCACATTACACTTCATCCCGGGTTTTGGGATAATTCATTTCATGTCTTCCCTCATCCTTTATACTGTCACCACATCTTCTGGGTGGGATAGTTGTTCTGTAGCTAGAAGTGATCTTAACTAATGTGCAATGAATTAGAGTAAAAAGAAAAGGCAGTCTAGAATTAAAGACATGGGGATTGCTTCATGGGATCAGATAATCCATCTAACCAGTATTAGGTCTTTGACAGTGAGAAGCGGTGCTCATTCCAGAGGAACAAACTGCTGTAAATTCTGAAAATTCTGAAATCAAGCATTGCTGGAGAAAGCTCTTATCTAAATTCCCATGGTGAGTGATTGGTTTATGTCTTGAACTGATGATACAAGACACATAGCTTTAGAGCTTCTGCTATATTGCATCAAAACTGCTGCAGTCACTTAATACAAAGAGTTGATCTGGGATAAGCTAATGCCGCTGTTTCAAATTTGTCCAGCTTTTTTGAGTGATTAATTTAGCATTGGCAAGAATGATACCAGATTAGGCACTGTCTATCCAAGCTCCTGTAACATACGTAACATCAAGTATGAGTGGCCTTCCCACAGTGAATACAAAGCGTCATTAAAGGATATTTCTGACAAAACTAGGTACTACATGCTCTGAGTAATTCAACAGAAATGCAGTCATGCTCCAACTTCTGATCCAGGTCTCATTTACCCTGTTGAGTGATGCTGTGGTGCACAGACTTGGCAACATTGACAGTGGGATCACACTTTTGGGGTTTTTCCCCTGTACCAGTTTTCCCTAAGGTAAGTATGGGTAGGTGCTTGTACTCATCTTTTGGTTACTGTTTGTCACTTTACACAACTACACAATTTAGCCCTAAATTAAATTTTAAACTGCAAGGAGGGCCTGGTTTTCAATTTCAATTTAAAAAACATTGTCAAAATGCCATGCAGACTTGCAGTTTGGGTGTATCCTGCTCCTGACACATTCTATGGGCTTGATCCTCCAGTGAGATTAAAATGTCCCTTGTGCAAACTGTCTTTCTGCACCTCAGGGATGTACTGTGTGAGCTGTCCGATGGGGGACACAGGCTGGCCAGGGAACCTGTAAAAGAATCACGAGCCCATTCATCAGCCATCTACATCTAAGGGATTCCTAAAGCAGCCTTAAATCAACTTTTTACATTTCTGTATGATGTTTCGGTTTTCTAGTCAACTACCAGAAGTGTTTTGTTGTTTTTTTATTGATTTTTTTTCCCTCCCTTAAAGACAGGTATTTTTGGGGGAAGAAAACCCTACAGTTTACTTAAAATCCCAGGTTTTGCCGTCAAAAGACCTGAGAATTTTTGACCACTCTTCTCCTCAGTCAGTGAGGTAATTTTCTGTTTTCAAGACAGATTAGACTTCTATACAGGCTTCCTTGTTAAGATAAATACTGTTAGGTGGGGTTGGTTTTGTTTTTAAAAAACCCTTAAGCGCTTTACAGGAGAAGAACAGTGCATTTCCATTAATGTGTACAAAGCATGCTAATAGCAAATGAATCACAGTTTATCCATATAAGACATTTTCTTAAATGCAACTTTACTTCTAGCATGATAGCTGACTGCCAAGGTGGTTTAGAGATACTGAATCCCTTTTACCAAATGCTACAAAACTCCTTGTAAAATCTCCAAGTTTGTAACTAGGCTGTTTCTGTAGTGAATGGGGAGAGAAACCTCTCCAGAAGGTGGTCCACCTCATTCCAGTACAGGTCTCCAGGGGGTACTTACTCTTGCTCGGGGTCTTTCTCTTCCTAGGGGTTACAGAGGCGCCCTAGACAGCCAGGTTAGATGATTATAACCTAATCTTAGAGGTGGCCCTGGATATTCTGTATTTCAGTCTTTTGTGTCTGATAAAAATATCTTTAATAAAACATTCCACATGATCTGTGGTGAACAGGCAACCACTGGCTCCACTGTTCATACCTCTATTTTTTGCTTCTGTGTATGGGATTGTTTTAAAAATTTGGAAGACTCCAGGTATCTTTTAGCCAAATGACCTGCGGTATCATATTCATGAGCTTGTACTTTTGATCAGATAATAGGGCAGTTTTTCAAATCAGTGCATTAGTCATAGATTGTCTTACCATCATTAGAACATGTAAAACTTTCCTCAAAAATGGGGCCCCAGGCAGAGGCTTTGTGAACAGACCCTACTGAATCCAATTACATGATTCAGGTCCTCTGCACTGGGGGCATGCTGAAGCACCTTGATGATTTGGGAGCATTTTAAAACTGAAAAATAAAACAAACACACATGCAAGCCTTTGAGGGTCAGTATGTTCTGATTTAGCTTGCAAGGACTTTGCAAGGAGCTCACAAATGAATTTTTAGTGTGACTTAGTTTATCCATATAAGCAGGGCTCATCTGACCACAGGACACACCACAGCAGAATCACAGAAGATAGGACCAGGAGGGACTTTCTGGCCCATCTGTCCCAAAGAAAGGAACAAGGTCTAAACCCTTCCTGACATTTATGTATAATTCAATCTCAAAAAACCCTACAATGATAGCAATTCCAGAGTCTCTGCAGACATCTATTCCAGCATTTCACCATTCCCGACGTCCAGAATTACTGCCTAATGTTTCACCAAATCTTCCTTGCTACAGCACAAGTTCATGACTTCTCCTGTCCCCATGGACAGCTTTATTCCTTTCCTCTGCTCAGCAGCCTTTCACGTGGTTTGAAGACTTAACCATGTTTTACCTCAGCCTTCTGTCTTTTAAACAAACAATTCCCTCCACCTTTCTCCGCAAGTCCTCAGGTGCTCTCCCTCCATCCTTTCTTCTACTCTCCCCTGGCTCTGCCTAGCTGATCTGCGTCTTCTCTGGAGTGAGATGCCCAAAACTGGAAACAGTAGGTCCAGCTGAGATATTGCCAGCCCTATGCTTTGTGCGGTAGGTACCACTGCTTCTTTATTTGCAAAGTAAAAGAACGTGCATGAAAAACAGGCAATCTCTAGGAAGATGGTCTTTTCACTACTTTTTGCCCCAAAGTCCAAACCACCTTTGTGGTCCCAGTAACTGCTCTAAAGCTGATGGAAAATTGACGGTGCTCTGAGGGGGTGAGGACTGTCCGAATTATGGTGATATTTCTATACATTTTTAATCTATTGCCATGCCTCAGTCCCAACACAGTTTCTGCCCAGGGTGGAGGAAGTGACCCTTTTAAGCATAACTTACAAAGTGTTTGCATATTTTTCTGGATCAAAGGAACTATATCATAGAATCATAGAATCATTAAGGTTGGAAGAGACCTCCAAGATCATCGAGTCCAACCGTCAACCCAACACCACCATGCCCACTAAACCATGTCCCTAAGCACCTCATCTACACGTCTTTTAAATACCTCCAGGGATG